TTGAATTTTAGGGCGAGATGATTTTTGTTAGAGAAATATTTTGGCTTTTTACTTCTCCATTTTTATGCGTAAAAATATATAAATTTCTCTTTATTAGGAAGATTCTCCATTTTTTTTTGTACACTGATCAAGAAATAGAGAGCCAAAACCTTTGTTTCTCAAACATTGAATGAATATTGTTTAAAATTGTTGAGGCCGATACATGACAAAATTTTTGGATGCTATTGAACGCCAGAAATAGGAAAGTCTAGCATGAGAACTGTGAACAGTGACGAAAGGTTTCCATATAAACAGCTCATTTTTTACATTTTTGAAACCAATCTGGTAAATTGTGTGATGACTGAAGCACAATATCACATGATGGATGAAATCTGTGACCCAGAAATTTGAAACGTGGAGAGCAGGGGTGCACATTAAAAATTATAGATGTAAACTACATAGGTTTAGAAAACCCATCTAGCCTTGTGAATGAGTTGGTTCGAATTGTATTTTCGGTAGACTTGCCAGGATCCATCTAGAAAATGTTTCATTAACGCCTTCTTAAAAATATAAAAATCATAACTACTTTTTGGAAAATTGAAATCACACCTATGAGAATTCACCTACTTGATTTCGATAGTCGCGAATTGCACTTTTTTTAAGGACAAAACACAAGCACCACAGGAAAATCCTTAAGGTGCTCTCAGAGCAGTGGTTGTGCGAAAGTAGTAATTCATATTGGATTTGAATCATTGGAGATTGAATTCATTTGTGAAAACGTTCTCAGGAAGTTTATTCCACATAAACGCAGTTCTCCAGATGAAAGAGTCCTCAGGAACACTGAGTTGAACCTCAAAACGACGAGCAGCCACAGTCCGTCGCGTATTTCTGATATGTATCGCTCTTGGTTGAATCAAATATGCCAAGTCACTTCAATACCTTTCGTAAAGGTATCTGTGGAAGAGAGACAAATCTCCAACGTTTCTTCCATGTTCCACGCTATCAAGGTTGCACGTGATGTTCGCGTCTCCTATCAGGCGGATGGGTCTTTTCTGGATGGAATTCAGAAACTTCAGAGTACGTTTGGTTGCAGAGCTCCATACATGAGAACAACACTCCAAAGAGTGATCTGAGCTTTATACAGCATCAAAAGTTGATGAAGTGGGTACAGTTTTCTGATTCGGAACAGTGTTCCAAGCTCTTGAGGAGCAGCCTTTGCAATTCCAGCAAATGATTGTGCCAAGACATATTGGTGTCCATTTCAACCCCCAATAAACTCATCGAAGCAGAAAGCGGAATTGTCTGACCTAACATTATTATATCCAGTTCGGAGACATTTATCTTCTTGAATAAAACCGATACCTGGGTTTTTGTGGCATTGAATTGAACCTGGTTACTCTTACCCCAATTCGAAATCACTTCTAGATCCCCAATAAGATATGTAACCTCCTGCTGTCGGTAAAGATGTGTCTCCGTAGCCGATGTCCTGGAATCCAAATGGAATGACGAGACAAGTGTGCTGTAGCCAGCAAAGAAATATATTGTATTCTTATTTTTTTCCAATCAGTCGTTGATATACAATTAGAAGAGAGTTGGACACAATATGGATACCTGGAGAACATCAGGGCTGATGGTGAAAGTATTTGAGAGATATCCATCGACGGCCACTTGAAGGGAACGTTCTTTTAGGAAGCTTAGGAGCCATACACAAAAATGATCCGATAAGCCAAATCATCGAAGTTTGGCCAGCAGACCCTCATGCCACACACTGTCAAAGGCCTTAGAGATATCAAACGTAATAGCTCTTGACTCTCGATGTTTCTCGATTGCGTTATTCCAAATATGGGGTGACATACGATCGAAGGTTGTCTGTTGATCTTTGTTTCCGAAAGCCATATCGATGATCGTTCTAGATGTTGAAGCCGTCCAAATATTTGAGGATATGGTGGTTTACGACTTTCTCCACAATTTTTGAAATAACTTTAACAAAGCAACTGGTCTATAGTTATTTGGAATATAGTTTTTGGGAATAGGCTGAACGCGAGCAATATTCCAACACTAGCCGCTGTTGAAAAGTGATTTTTGGCGTTGTGGATTCTAGTGTGGGAATAGTGGGTGGTGCTTTTCCCAGAAAATCGACTGTGGAGTAAGTTAGGTTAGGTAAGGTCCAAATTGAGTGGATCTATTCGTTATTACATCGCAACCCGCAAGGGTTTATTGTGGCTCACACCTAATCACACACGGCCAAATAAACCCAGCTTCTTAACGAAGCCGATGAGTTTGTATGGTGAGGGGTCTTTCAGATCAAATGGTGATAGTATGGCTCTGCCAAACTCTATTGACCTGATTCGGTCCCCAGCGGGGCAGACAGAAAGTATATGCTCTGGTAATGAGGTAGTCGCATAGTCAAGTTGCAAGATTCTCACCTTGGTACCCACGACAACTTTCCCAAATGAGGATTTTTGCACGTCAGCCACACCCGACGATGCCTTAGATTCAGCTGTGCAGGGCTTTTTTGCCTCTGGTTTTGGTGAATCATCACTTGAGCGCAAACGTTTGCTAACCTGCTCATGGGGGGTTTGTTCCCCCACCTGAGACAGATTCTGCGTACGCCGCAGCTCTCGCTCCTGAACTAAATTTACAGGGAGGTCAGTTGGGGTCGTAAACTAGACATCCATCTCCTCTGTAGACTCGCTCCTGAACTGAATTTACAGGGAGGTCCGTTGGAGTCGTAAACTCGACATCCATCTCCTCTGTAGACTAGCTTCTGAACTAAATTTACAGGAAGGTCAGTTGGAGTCGTAAACTCGGCATCCATCTTCTCTGTAGACTCGCTCCCGAAATAAATTTACAGGGAGATCCGTTGGAGTCGTAAACTTGACATCCATCAGCTCTGTAGACTCGCTCCTGAACTAAATTTACAGGGAAGTCAGTTGGAGTCGTAAACTCGACATCCATCTTCTCTGTAGACTCGCTCCTGAACTAAATTTACAGTGAGGTCAGTTGGAGTCGTAAACTCGACATCCATCTCCTCTGTAGACTCGCTCCCGAAATAAATTTACAGGGAGATCTGTTGGAGTCGTAAACTCAACATCCATCTTCTCTGTAGATTCGCTCCTGATCTAAGTTTACAGGGAGGTCAGTTGGAGTCGTAAGCTCGACATCTATCTCCTCTATAGACTCAGCGTCGAAAAGAATTTTTAAGTTTACTCTGTCCATAAAAGTTCCACGAGTAGCTAGGGAAAGAGGGTCAATCACGACAGAGCCCCACATTACCGTGACAAAGTGATGCTACGACGAGAGGGCGCCCGGTATCTCGAAGGTTCCGTAGAGACAGCTGATAGGCTCAGTGTCATTCATCCTCTCGGCACGGATACACATACCTTAGGATTGAGCCATCGTTGGGATGCCATTCAATCAAGAAATAACAGAACCACAAGTGATTCTGTAATTCCTGTATCCAGCGGGTCTACGTGGAAACAGGTATCCGAATGCCGATTTGCTCAACCCCCACATCCCAAGCCAATGCACTCGCCGAAAACAGCATGCATAGTGGTTCAGGCAGTGAAAGATGAACAAGGACAGCCAACCCGCCCTGTGGAGTAGGACGCAAATTGTTCAGCTAGTAGATTTGCTTTTTTCTATGGCTGTTGTTGCAATTGAACCATCCGCTTATATTAGTGGTGGAATTGTGGATTTTGTAAAGTTCTAATTACCAGCTTTAGCTACTAACCAGAAGGATTTACACCCGTGTTGCATTTAAAAGCGCTCGTTTTTGGAAGTTATAAAGGATAGGCGAAACTGGGTATCGAAGTTAACTCTACTGAGTATTGAAAGTTATTTGCTCCAGTTACTAAAGTTAAATTCCAGCGAAATCGTCAACAACGTTTCATCGAAAAAAGTTGGCAAACTTCCATTCTTTATCGCGGTGATTTAGTTTTTAATAAATTATATTCAACTATCAACAATTATCCTACCAATATTATAAATGAGAATGTAAGTTTGTTTGTTACGGTTTCATGCGAAAACTACTCAACCGATCATCAGGAAATTTTGTACACATGTTCTTGGAGGTATCAGAAGTAACATAGGAATAAAAAATATTTTTTATGTAAGATTTCCTTACCATATGAGATCACTTAATTATGTAAAAAAAATCACGAATAGTATATATTTTCATATGTAAGATAAAAAATTGTTTGGCAAAAAAATCTCAAAATCTAGCTACTTTAACGTCATCTAGCATCATCAGTGCTCACCAGTGAAATATATTTCAACATTTGTTGTTGCAATTCAATAAAGCATATTTTAAATTAAAATTTTCTAAACTTCATCGTATGTTGATGATTCCAGCCAAGTATTAAAATATAGTTCTCATATTGATTCATTTCTATTGTACTGACTCTTATTCAATGGCATAAATGCGAGCGAAGCCGCGGGTAAAAGCTAGTGTATAATAAATTGACTCTGACAATTACATGCTGTGTTGAAATTACATAATTTGTTGGCTATACATTTTGAAAGACTTGACGAAAAATAATTGTTTCAATTGTTTGGAAAATAATTAACGGCCTCCTCTCCTTCGTTGCCCCAGGTCCTCCATACCTGCAAATCTGGGCCTACTGACATAAGTGGAATCAAAGGGAGGTATTCATAAAACGCAGACAAGTTCATATTCAATTAGGTGCATAGTTATTTCCTGTATAGAATATAGCAGCCTTTGGGTATCTATATGGGCGAATTTCTATCATTTCAAAGAAAGTCTACTTTGAGTTTCATTAGGTACTAGAAGTTGCTATGAATACTTGATGTATTTTCTGAGTTACAAAATTTCAACTGAGTCACTTCATTTTAATCTAATCCAGTAATCACTACGTATTATAATTCAAAACCAATGAGTTTTCTGCTAGAATGAACATTTCTGCATTATAAATATGTAATAAGCATTACACAATCTGGTTTGAATCATTCTTGAACAATAAAGTCTTATTAAAACAATCGATTAGTTCTGAACAGGTAATTATGTATCACCTGATTTCTTTTACTTTAATCAAAGACAAGGTCTGATTCATGTGCTTGTTATATTTTTATCATGGGTACAAATAATGTGAATCGACGTGAACTTTGATGACACTGGTGAGTCTAATTTCTGTCTAAATTTGGTTAGAGAGCTATTGCGAATTTCTTTTTATTTTAAATGGTTTTTGAACCATATCAGTTCTTGTTCTCCATGTCGAAATATAGAAGGAAAAACACCGTATTGACATATTTTGAAAATGAGCCACGTTGAAGAGGATCAGTTGACTTGTGATATATATTAAATAGAATTTGTTTAAATTCAAACCTTGTATTTCTTAGGGTTTCATCAACAGTATATGTTTTAAAGCGATACAATGATGAAAAATTGAAGGTAAGGCCGCCATAACAGAGTTTTACAGCAAAAAATGCTACTTCCGATAAAAGTGGCATCTGTATATCCATTGAAAACACTTTTTGCCCCCGCATGCGTATTTAGATAACTAAGTCACCATTTTCAGGAGGTGACTAAAACTCTTAGCAATCTCCTAATTATGATATTATTGTCATTCAGCAATACCATGAGAGCAACCATAATGATGAAATCACTCGTCCTACTCGTGTACTCGTGAAGATTATTTCCTGAAATATTTTTAGTTAAAACATCGATAAAAAAACAAAATATCACTTCTTAGATCGAATCAATTTTATCGCCTGAATAACGTACGTAAATGACTAAACTTGAATTCTTCAACAATATGATTTCATTCTTGAAATATATCGTAATGAATGGTAGAATGAATCTAAAACAACAAGCATTTTCCCAAATACCAGAACTGGAATATCATTCTCGTCCCGCGTTTCACCAGATGTTGTCTTCAGGAGAAGAAGAAAACTGTTTTCTGCATGTCCTGAAGATGCCAAATTGGTTGGTGAAATGGGCTTCGAAAATAGTATTTCAGTTCTGGCCTTTGGGAAGAATACATGTTCATGAAAATCTATAGTTCTTCGACATGAGACGGCAAAGCCGGCACCCAAACCACACGACTTACTGGACGTGGTTAGATTCATTAACTGGGCGTCGCGTATTCTTTTTGATATCAAAGGAATTACTACTACTCAGAATTAATGTTTCAATTCGAATAAAAAATATTCCATTGTATCAATGAGTTTTGATTGAGATACCAATACTTTTAAATATCATATATCAATTGTTTGTATTCAGAGTGAAGTTTCAATTCAAGAAGTTTCGTATCATTTTCGTGAGGTTATGTGAATCAGTGAGGTGTGGCAATTTGTTTTTTATTTCGATATCTTGTTGTTCATTGTATTGGTGCAATTCTGATGCATTGTTTGTAACCTTCGGTGTAGTAATGAATATTACTGAAGTTTTTTCCCAACACCAAACCGTTATTTTTAACACCTCAACACATGTTGTGATCACCAAGTGATCATCTTCAAGAGGAATATCAAACTGTTTGATGATATTTATTGTATTGGTGAGTTTTATTTGATTGACATATTCATTTCAATTATTTCGGCAGGGTTAAGGTCTAGTCACTGTCATAATCATAATATCAAATTGAACCTGTGATTTTTTGTAGAATCATTTTTGCCAGGTTCCAAATTTAGGCACAATCATATATAAATGTTCGATTTCATTAGTTGTAATCGAAAAAGACAGTGACAATGATTGAAACTTTGGGAATGATGTGAATAAAAAAAATCCTCTTAAGAAACATTTCTAGGGATAGGAACTCATATCCAACTTGAAAAATAAAGCTTCAGCTGGTTCTGACGACCTGACCGTGAAAACAATCAAATCAATTCATATGCACATCATTAAATACTGACATACATCGTCAATTTATCTGTTTTTTTTCAAAAGGGGTGATACCAAAACAGTGAAATGAAAATAATACGATACCTATCTTTGAATTTGTAAATAGAAAAGATCCTAGTAACTAACACGCCATAATTGATCTCACAAAAGAGATTGTTGACTGCTTAGACAAGTCATACAAATGTTTATGTATATTTCTCGACCTCGCAAAAGCCTTTGATACATTATCTCACGAAATATTAATAGAGAGTCTAAATGAGGCAGGTATTCGCTGTCTAGCTTCGAACATTCCAGAAAACTATTTGAAACATAGATATCAGAGAGTGGAAACTGATCATATTTGCAGGACAACACTTGAAATAAAAACAAGTGCACCGCAGAGAATAGTACTTGGCCCAATTCTTTTCTTTGTGTATATCAACTAGTTAGCAAAAATTAAAGAGTTTCAAGGACATCTTGTTTAATGCGCTGATGATAAAGCAATTTTATTCACTTAAAAACAGGGATTATCTATTCGATAAAGTTAAAAAGGGTCTTATGAAAATCTCACAATGGCTAAATTATAGCAAGTTATCTCTGAATACGTCTAAAAGTAAATTTATGATATTTCTACAAATGTCGATACAAAATTGAACAGAAATAATGAAATTTTCAACTGAACCATTATTTAGATACTGTATAGTAATATGGGGAGAATCATATGATAACGCATTACTACTCAGAACTGTATCAAACTGTTTAAAAAATAATAAACGTTTTTCCACTTCACGATGACCTAGACATCTTTAACATTAACAAACTACATACTCGCATGCACCAATGCTTGCTTTATATGCACGAAAAAACAAAACCAACTATATATCCCAACAAAACTATTCCATTCCGACTTATCACAAACTTATCGATTGAGATACCGTTATTTAGAAAAAGGCACTTCCAAAACAGTATATATATATATATATGNCCGCTCGTCTATACTCTTGGGGTTTCTTAAATAGTGTTGTTTATATTATTAAAATCTGTTTTCAAATCTGTTTTTCCGTTAATCAGCTGTCGCCCCCATACGAACAATAACTCAACTTGTGTGAGCTAAGGACTAACGAGGTCTTACCTTTTAACGTGTGATTCCTAACACTTACCACTTCTAATAGTAATAATGAGTTCACGAACGGAAATTCCTTTCTCAATAGTGACCTTCTTGGTCGAATTCAAGTTCAAAATGTCACAGATTGTGTTTTTTATTGTACTAAGAATAGTTAAATAAAGTATCATTCTTATGAACACATGTAAATTGGATTGCGAAAGGTGGTTTTTCGGAATATTATGAAATGAGGGTGATAGGATTTTTTATTGGTATACCTATAATGAGCATATAATACTTATAGTATCATGTGTTACGAAAAATTCGCAAAATTCGTCCTAATTTTTTTAATAAAATCGAGAATCAGCTCCTGAGTCACTGATGACCTCAAATTGAAACTGGATGGTATTGAAATTCATTCAAATATGTTGGTTACATCTAACAAAATTTTGACTTCATATTAGAATATGGCAACTACATTCATAGAAGTGACACCTCTGTGAATTCATGCAAGAAATCATAAGTCCTAAGAACCCTTCCGATTCGTGTATTTTTTTAAGTAGACCATGCTCTTTTGGGCAACGAAAATTGTTGGTTTTGGACGATTGGCTAGTTCATTTTCCAACAAAACGGTGATCTAGCTCTTTGTTTTTGTTTTGAGTAATATTTGTGAAATTAACTTTGATTTTTCAGGTAATAATATTTTTTTTTCTGATTCAAAAAATCTGTCTCGAAATATATCTTCTTGTTAATAAACTGTTGCCCTCTTATGAACGACAACCCTCAGAAGTGAAATGTGCCCTTACGAGGTCTTACTTTTCAACCGACTCCTAAAACGTAGTGGACGATACGCAGTAAAAATCAATCGTAAGACAGTTTGTCTCAAACCACCGGTCACATAGCGGCCAATTTGATGAATAGAAATAACCACTCACTTGAAATTTTCAGATATTCATTTTTTCCGTGATTATCTGGATGATTATTACTGGTTCAGTTGGCTGTTGGGAGTTTCATTTTGACTCAACGTGTATGACGAGCTCTCAATCATTACCTCACTGAGATAATATCAGTTCATTATTTGCTAACAAAAACTATAACTTTTTGTATTCCCTGAATACCAGTGGTTCATATATTCATTATCGGAGAAATAGGAAGTTTTTATGGTCTACCTATAAATAAAATTAGTGACCTTCAACAAAATTGGAAACGTAATTGAGAATGAAATGACATGTTTGTATTTACGCAAACATGAAATCATGTAAATGATCTATTAGCCCCCATTAGCGGTAATCACTTAGACTAATGAATGGAAGACATTCTAGAGAATTGTAGACAAAAAATGAAAAGGAAAAATTACAATATCAGAATTGGGAAGATGACTAGGATGTTGAGGGTTCAATATAAAATACGATATGTATGACTGAATACTTTTGTGCGCAATTTTCATAAAAATGAGTTTGAATATTTTTAATTTCCAAACGTTTTCTGAACACGAATTGAATACGAATAATGCTAAGTATTGATCCATACAGGAAAAACTGAGCGGGAGTCTTTCCTTTGATACTCGTAGTTTGATACTGTTAGAGATATCAATAAAATAATTATACCAAAAGTAATTTTACCTTTTTTCTATCATATTGAAGTGACAAATTATACAAGACATAAACCACAGAAGAGTATACTTCACGTAGGACGGTAGCCTGGTGGTTTGACGTGGGTGGTTTGTTCGACATACTCAATCGATTGCTATATGAACCGGTGGTTCGAACTGCAAGGTCGAACGATCGATTTTCACTTCCCATCGTCCAACTCGTGTAAGAAATCACACGTTGAACGGTAAGACCTCATTGGTCCTTATCTAGCACAAGTTTCGATTTGCGAGAGTTGTCGTTGTAGGGGACGACAGTAGGTTAACGGATAAACAGACAGACAGACATCAAAAATTGAATAAATAAGCATTCAGTGGGCCTTTGTGAGTTTTTCCCACTGAACCTGAAAATTACCTGATATTCTGAGTTGTGTAGAAGTCATAGGGGTGATAAGCACGTCCTTGTGAACTATAGACTAGTGACAGTTCCCTTTCCTTCATAAAAAACATTTAAATTTTGTTTCTAGAAAAGTTTTCCATTTGTCCACTTTTTACATTTGAGAAAAAAATATATTCGGTAATGATTAACACAGTTTTGGAAATGGGCT